TTAATATTACTTGATGTATTCACAAACGTTACAACCCTTTCTACGCATACAGGATTCTCGGAGATCTCGTTTCCTCTCACACGACACTCTCGTTTACACGCGCATTTTTTCACTCTCCTTTCTCTCCGTCTTTTTTACTCGTACACATTCCTAAGCAATTTGCGTTTACATCTACAATAAGTAAATTATATATTTATATATACATATATATGTATACATATATGTGGGAGTACAAGTTTTCTGTGAATGTTTCAATTGTGATCGAGAAATGTTTCGGGACAGAACGATACAAGTGTGAACGAAATCACACAAGACCGAGTTATCCGGTCTTCTCGAAGATAAGGTAGATGGAGTGGTGGTTAAGCAGCTGACTAGTGGGGGAGAATGGACTGACTGATGATGGGGACAGTGGCGCCTCCTGGCGGAGAGATTCATCAGCCCTATTCTAGGCTACAGGTGCAAAAGAAAAGTGTTTAGGAAGAGTTCAGTGTTTGAAATTGTAATTTGAACGAAAGGTGCGTTTAGCCATCGAAGGATTTCAGTATACATGATTGAATGACTGAAACGAGTGAAAGAAATAGAGTAACACAGCTAGAGACAGTCCATTGTGAGAGTCGAACGTTGCAAATAGCACTATAACATTGTCAATTAACCAGCGAGTACATTTAGTTAATAAACACTGTTATTAAAGTCACTCCCGTATCTCTGAACCACTTATCTAATAATATATGTACCTTCAAATAATCCCTACATACACATATAATATATATGTCTATATTTTTGTTGTTTACCATTTTACTTTATCCATCTTTATTTTTCACAGTCGAAACACGTATTCACACATACACACCACTCTCTTTCGCTTGATTCTTCTTTTTATATAATAATGCTCGTTACACGCTACACGTATGTATATTTATTTACAATGGCCGACTCTTATTCTCGACAGGATATTTCTCCAAATTTTTTTTTCTTTTTCTGCACACATGTTTGTGTGTATATTATGCAAAGAAGATCGTCGGAGCTTAGATCGTTAGAAAAGAACGCAATCTACACGATCTAAGAGCATTTAATCTTGAAAAAATACCTAAGCTTAGGTTAGGTTTTCATTAGCGGTCAGGCGCCATTTTCTTCAACACCAGCCGCCATATTGTGCATCGTCTCCGTCGACGCTAAAACGAACCTATTTCTCTCTCCTTTTTTTTTTTCACAATTTTCTTTCTTTGCGTGTCTCGAGCAAGTTCGTCGTTCTTTCCGTTTTTGGGGGAATAAATACAATCTTTCTTTTTCCCTTTCGAATTGAGTGTGTGAGAAGAAGAAGGAAAAGATCCCACTGGAACACATCTCTTGGAAATTAACAAATATCTTGCACAACTACTTATTTATTTTTACTTAATTTAAAATTTGTAATTTATATAATTTTAAAATTCCAACCTAAGAATTGTTACTATAGTTTTGAAAATTAGGCTTCATATTAAAAACCAAAGAAATTTTCTAGTAACGAAAAATGGGAAAAAAATTGTGAAAGGAGATATTAATCTAATCTTATAGTTATATCTAATTATAACTATTTTCGATTTCTCGATAATAGGGTTCAGTGGAACCTTTTTCTTCTTTTTCTCATTCATTCACAATCGTGTCGACGATTTTCTTTACTTTATTTATTTATCTTTTTAATAATTTATTATTCGTCATTTATTTCTTGGCGAGAAGTATAGTAGATTGGATTATCGTTTATGGTTAACAGTAAGCAAGTAATCAGTTCATTTTTCTTTTTTTTTAATTTATGAGAAAATTCGAATGAAATTTAAATTTCCCCCTCTTTACAAAATTGTTTCAGTCGACTCTAAGTGTTATATTTCTAGTGTCTTTCTCTTTCTAGTAAGTGTATAGTCGTCGTGTAAAAATCGTTTAAAATTGTTCAAGTGTTGAATATAACTAGTTGATTTAAGAAAGCTTATGGCATTTGATTGAGAATACATCTTAATTCATTGCACTCACTTTCATTTCTAATTTCTCTTATGATTTGCATCCTTCATTCGGATGATTATGGATTCGAAAATAAATGAATTTCGAACCGCAAACGATTTAACAAAAAAATTCAACTTTCTGAAATTCTACATTTTTCAATTTACAAAAAAAGACTGCTGTGTCCATTGTTTTCCTATTGTAACGGCTCGAAGCGAGTATGAATTCCAAAATGAATTAACCTTGAATTGCTAATTTTCCAGCGAAAAAAATTCAACTTTTTCATCTCTCTGAAATCATGAAAATTTGTCAAATTTTAAAAAAGATGCTGCATGCATTGTTTTCAAATTGCAACGAATCAAAAGAATAAAATTCGATTTTTTTTTTTATTTTAGCTGATCAGAAATAATCAGATGAACTTTGATCAACTAAAAAATAGTTAAGAATATTTTTGGATGATGATTTGAGGTTGATCTACAGAAAGAACAAGTATCTGTACGATGAATGATTCTTGATTAAAATTTCAGAAAAAGGATAAACTCTTACCCGAAACTTTCACCTCTAACATCCAAGTCCTTTGATTCAAGTTACGAATATTTTTCAAAATTACTTCGGACTGGCAATCGAAAGAACTTCAAATATAAAAAGAAGCACCGCAGTAGAATTGTGAAAAGATAAAACTGCAGGAATACTGAGATCATTTGTGAAGTGTATTTTACCGAGTTCCGTGTCGCGTGTATAGTTTGTGGAATAGATATCGTGGGGTCGTATAGATCGACCATGCAAACTTGCAGGTTCCAACGCGCATGCCCAAGCAAATAAGCGGAAAACATGGCTGACGTTAAGTGGTTTCTAGCGAACCGTCGGTAAAATCGCGCGCTGATAAAAGAACAGGAAAGTGAAAAAATTATTTGCCCGCTTTAATATTCAAATGAATCACAATTTTGTTTTAAAGTTCTTTTAAGACTCCTATTTTTCCCATGGCACGGAACGTATTAAGAGGTAAATGCAATCTCTGAATTTGGAAAATTACTATGTGATTACTAAGTTATAGTTAAGCAATTACTCGAAAGTGAAGAGAAAAATCAAAGGAACTGTCAAGTAATCTCGAAATGATTTTCACTTAAAATCTCTTTCTATCATGCATCAGAAAACGTTGCAATTCGAAGAAAAATTTTTTGACAATATTCAACATATTAAGTGTATCTATGATACACTATTTTGTTTGAACGAGTTAGAAATGTAAGTCATTTTCTTTATAAAAAACAAGAAAATAATAATAATCGCCATTTTATAGTGCCACAAATTTCCATTATTTTAAGCTTCTACAAGAAAAAATCCTGAACGATATTCAAAGAGATGAAACGTGTTAATCCCTCACGGAGCCATCTTATTTTTGCGCGAAATTTGAATCGTCGATAAAGTTCGCTCGAGTCGTTCCCAAAAACCGTTCTTCTACAAATGCCCCGTACACCGTCGAACGCACCGAAGATTAACTCTCAACCTTCAAAAACAAACGGGAGCTACTATTTACATTCATCTCTTATCATCCACAATGTTCGTGTCTATAACCTTAAACCTACCACCGTAT